AGGGATTTAGGGGTCTAGCGGTTTAGGGGTTCAGGGTGTAGGGATTTAGGGTTAAGGGTTTAGCGTTTAGGGTTTAGTTGCAGGATTTCGAGCTTAGGCTTTTTGTGTTTTCAATTGCGCCTGCTTCCATCTCCCAGAATGGTGGCTGTATGTGGGGGTTTCCCAAAATTAGGGGTACCTTATTGGGGGGGTCCCCATAATAAGGATCATAGTATTTTGGGGTCTGTATTGGGGTGCCCCTGTTTTGGGAAACTACCATGTGTTGGGATGTGTGGATCCAAAGTTTAGGGTTTGACGGTTCAGGATTTTGGGTTTAGCAGCTGAAGTTTAAGGATTAGAGTTTAGGCTCAAGACTTGGAGCCAGGGTGTAGAAAATGTGGGTTCTGCAGTTTGACTGCGCTCCTGTATACCTGCCCTTTGGTCCACGTGCAATTATCTCTATATATATATTTATATGGTCATATATATATATATGCTTGCTTACGTAGAAAACACAATGGCAATGTTCATTTACAGAAACACGTGCACATGTACTGTGGCTATACAGACATATCATGCGCACATAAGTCTAACCTCCAATGGTGGGGAGCTATGGGTTCTCATGGGAAGCGGGGGGGCAGGGGGGGGTATGGGGCTAAACACTTAGGGTCTAGACTCTAGGACTCTAGGCCTTGAATGCTAGGGCTCAGGGTTAGGGCGTGAGAGCTAGAAGTTCGACTTCAAGGCCCTTGAGCGCTCTTATGCTAGTAGGGAAAGTAGGAATGGAGGTCCTCTGATATATAACTTGGGGAAAGCTCAGCTATACAGCCCCCCCCGTCAACAAACGATCACTCAAACCTCCCGGAAGGGCATGCATGTGCTGCAAGGCTTGTTTCTGGTAACTACTTCTCTGACCCTCTCCCAGCGCATTCCGCCGCAAGTTCGATGTTTGTTTGGGGTAGCGCACTCCGGCATTCCTACCAATCATGACCCCTAAACCCTAAACCCGTGCTTGACCCAATGCCTTTGACCCCAAGTTTTATCCTGAACAGAAGGCTCTGAAACCCTAACTCTGGAGATAGCAGGAATACCTGAACCTCAAAAGTATGTAAAATAATGGCCTTTTAGGCTATCATTAATGGTTTTGGGCTATTATGTCACCTATTTTGGGGTCTCAGGAATAGTAATTGCAATAACAACCGTTGTAGTAATGATAGCGCTAGAACGAGGAATACTCATACTTGGAGTAATACTACGCATAGCGAAGACAACTCTGAGGAATACCCATGAACCTTTAACCTTAAAACCTTAAACCCTAAACCTTAAAACCCTCAACCCCGAACCTTAAAGCCCTGAGCCCTAAACCAAACAGCAACTCCTAAACTCTAAACCCTAAACCCTAGTCCAACTTGCCTCCGGAGTCGCCAATGATGGCAAATCCGCCAGGTTCAGAACAGCGGAGGCAGCCATTTCCTAGTCGGTTAGGGTTTAGGGTTTAGGGTTTAGGGTTTAGGGTTGAGGGTTGGTTTAAGGTGTAGGGTTTAAGGTTGAGGGACGGTAGCGAATCGAAAATCAAATGGAAAGTGAATAGGAAATTTGAGGCCTTTGGGCCATACACAGGGTTTAGGTCTAGCCTGCTGGCTGTTTGTGAGGGAATGAAGTAATGAAGGAATGGAGAAGAAATAAGTTTGAGCCATTACACTCCCCCAAACTAACATGGAAACCCATATAGCCCCATTTTAGAGGGACTATAGTCTTTATAGGGCCCCTTTTGGGTTTCCATGTTAGCTTCCAGGAGTGTAGGCGGCAGGTTTGGGGGGAGGTTAGGCTTGGGATTGGTGATTAGGAGTTTGGGCTAAGGACTGGGATTTGGATGGATCTGGGGCTTGGATTGGGATTTCAGTGTTTTGTTCCCGAGGACTAGGTTTAGGGGCCAGGGTCTGCAGTTGAGGTGTTAGGGTGAAAACCTGATTGGTTGTGAAGATGATCTCTCAGTTTTCTCGTAGACTGATACCTGCATACCCGCCAATAACCCCCGAGCAAGACAGACCACCTAAGCCTAAAGCCCTAAAGCCCTAAACCTAACGCCCTAAACCGTGAAGCCCTAAACCCCCCCCCCCTCCCCCCCCAAAAAAAGCCCTAAACCCTAAACCTCAAGCTCAACACCCTGAAGGGTTTCTACACCAATCCCAACTCTTAGCAGGTTGAAACGCTACAGTTGCCTATGGTTTGGGCTAGCATTCGATCATCAAAAGACCCTAAACCTCCTAAACATCGTTTGAGGGCTTGGAGTTTAGAGTTTAGGCGTTTAGGGGTTTAGGGTTGAGGGTTATAGAGTTTAGGGCCTAGGGTTATACGGATTAGGGGTTCAGGGTTTCGGGTTTAGGGCTCAGGGGGTTACAGGGTTTAGGGGTCCCGGGTGCCAAGTTTGGGCATCCGCCAAGGAACTCACCAAATCCTACATGACCCTACGTGGGACAGCGGCATCCCCTAACCCACGCGGTTGTAGAGTGTAGGGTGCCCCAAACCCTAGACTCAAACCCCCAGCCCTAACTCTAACCCCAATCCCTAAACCCTGAACTAAGGAAGGGTGCCAAGTCCGTATCGTCAGCCCAGAAAGGAACAGGGAACATCTGGTGCTCATAGCTTGCAATTAACATCTCGTAGCCTTGCTTCGCAGAAGGGTTTAGGGTGTAGGGTTTGGGGTTCACGGTTCAAAAGTTTAGGGTTCAGGGCTGAATTTAGGAAACCTAGG